GTGCACGTGGACCCCGCCTTCCTGCGCTTCGTCCCCACTTACACCTCCCGCCTCGCCATCGTCTCCCAGACTGGTAGGGCCCAGCCAGATCCCTGCCCCTACACCTACCCAGGCCCTGACAGGCTATGGAGTCAGGTTGCCCGGACTCACTAGCCCCTCTGCCAGTCTTGGGGAGGTCCCTGTTGTGGATTTTCCAGACTTGGTACAATCCAGGGATGGCAGGTGGGGGGCAAGAAGCAGCATGGGCAGGGGTGGTGGAAGCTATGTGGGAGCAGGGGTCTGGGCAGGTATGGAGCAGAAGGGGGAGTGTGGGCATGGGCTGGTTCCAGGGCTCTACCCTGCACTTCCAGGCTCCAGCTGGGGCAGGGATCTGGGGCTGTGGTTCCCATAAGGTGACAGGCCACCCCCCAAGGTCCATAGAGTGGGGCTTGGATGACCTTTCTCCTCCAGTCCAAGGGGCCATGGCACTGCCCAGCCTGGAGCCCTCCTGGGCTAGGAGCTCCCTGCGGCACCCCTGCTTGCACTGGGCACCCCGCAGAGCTGGGGGGATGTGCTTCTCTTGCCTGAGGGCTGGGACATAGGGGTCGGGAGGCTCTCCACGTTTTGGCGCCCCCACCCCCCCATCTCCAGCCCTGTCCTGTCATCCACACAGGCCAGGGCCAGTTCTGTGAACCCACGGGCCTGGCCAACCCAGCCGATATCTTCCATGTCACCACGGTGGGGCAGCTGCTGATGACATTTGATGTGTCGGGCACCAAGCAGGCACTGGCCTTTGGTGACTCAGAGGGCTGTGTTCACCTCTGGGCTGACTCGCCCGAGGCCACATTCAATGCTTTCTCCCGGGAGACCGACTTCGCCCTGCCCTGCATCGTGGACTCCCTGCCCCACCTGGACTGGGGCCAGGACCTCGTACCCCTCTCGCTCATCCCAGTGCCCCTCACCAGCGAGACCCTGCTGTCCGACTGGCCCGCCGCCAACTCGGTGCCCGCCCCCCGGTGAGAGCCGACCCAGTGGCACCTGGAAGGGCCCAGGGCATGGTGTTGGTGGGGGGGGGCTGGGCTCTGACTCACTGCCCTCGGGAAGGATGAGCTGGAGGCCTGACCGCGCTGCGGACGCTGGGGAAATCCCCCGGCGCTTCCCCAAGAGTCGGCTGCACCCTGGGCTCTGTGGTTGGACTCTTGCACTCACAGTTTCATCCAGTGCCTTCCTCAGCCCAGCTGTGGGTTCTTGCACTGCATCAGAGCCTCTGCTACAGTTGCTTCCTCCCCCTTAGAGCCCCCCCCCGCACCAGCACTGAGCTGATAGGTCCTGGGGTTGGCTCCACTGTCCTCAGAAGCCCAAAGCTGGGCTCAGAGCCCAAAGGACCAGTGCGTTTCAGGGGCTGAGCCACACTGTGTGCCACAGGCGGGCGCCACCCGTGGACCCCGAGATCCTGCGCACCATGAAGAAGGTGGGCTTCATTGGCTATGCCCCAAACCCCCGCACCAAGCTTCGCAACCAGGTCAGTGCAGACCCTGGGGAAGAGCCAGGAGGACTGCGGGGCAGGGCTGTGTATGTGTGGGGTTGGGGGTACACAGCACAAAGTAACAAGGCTGTTGTCCCCACCCCCAGATCCCATACCGGCTCAAGGAGATGGACAACGAGTTTGACAGCTTCAGCCAAGTGCCTGAGTCTCCCATTGGCCGTGAGGAGGAGCCACATCTCTACATGGTGGCCAAGAAGTACAGGAAGGTCTGACCTGGTACCTGGTGGTGAGGGACAGGCAGCCAACTCTGGCCTACAGGGTCTGCCAGCAGTAGTGGGAGGCAGCATGGGACCTCCAGCCATAACGGTGCCAGGGGCCTTGCCCCATGGTGTGTGTGGGGGGGAGCTGCTGTGTCATAGGGCTGCACCATGGCCCAGCCCGGGTTTGGGGGTCACAGCTGGGAGGTCCCACACTGGTGACTGGCACCTGCCCAGGTCACCATCAAGTACTCAAAGCTGGGGCTGGAGGACTTCGACTTCAAGCACTACAACAAGACGCTGTTCGCGGGGCTGGAACCCCATATCCCCAATGCCTACTGCAACTGCATGATCCAGGTGAGGCTGCCCCCCTGCCCTCCTGCCCCCCTGCCCCAGCCGTGTCCAGCCTCCCTGATCCAGTGCCCCTGCAGGTGCTTTACTTCCTGGAGCCTGTGCGCTGTCTGGTGCAGAACCACCTGTGCCAGAAGGAGTTCTGCCTGGGCTGTGAGCTCGGCTTCCTCTTCCACATGCTGGACCTGTCCCGTGGGGACCCCTGCCAGGTGAGCTGGGCTTGGATCTGTACATGGCATGCAGTTGGGGCCCCAGCTCTTGGCATGGAGCTAAGAACCCCCCTGATGCCCCCACCCAGGGCAGCAACTTCTTGCGCGCCTTCCGCACCATCCCGGAAGCCTCAGCACTGGGTCTGATCCTGGCTGACTCAGATGAAGCCACAGGGAAGGTGAACCTGGGCCGCCTAATCCAAAGCTGGAACCGCTTCATCCTCACGCAGCTGCACCAAGAGACCCAGGAGCAGGAGGGGCCACAGGCCTATCGGGGCGCTGGTGGCAGGTAATACTGTGCTCACCCCCATGCACATAGCCTCCATCCTGGGCCACCCACATGAGCCCTGAGTGGTGCAGGCTGTCCACTGCCCCCAAGGGTCTCTGTGGCAGCCTTGGGCCCCAGGCTGCGGGGGAGGGGGCACCTGGTCTCTGGCCACAGGCAGCACTCAGCCCTGGCTCTTCTCGCCCAGCAGCTTCGCCTCAGCTGGGGAGTCAGTCATCGGGCAGCTCTTCAGCTGTGAGATGGAGAATTGCAGCATGTGCCGCTGTGGCAAGGAGACGGTGCGCGTGTCCTCCACCCTGCTCTTCACCCTCTCCTACCCTGACAGTACTGGTAAGGCATCCGCCAGGATGAGTGTGCAGCTCCCTACCAAGCCAGGCCTAGTGCCAGCCCCTGCCCACTCGGGGGGCATCCCAGCTGTTCCATGCCCTTCCCATCCCATCCCTGCGTAGCAGTGGGACACAGCCTGCAGCTTCCTGTGCTGAGCACCTTCATCAGGATCTGCACTGATGAGGCTGTCCCCCTTCCCCAGAGAAGTCCATCAAGGACTACGAGTTTGTCCAGATCTTGAAGAGGAGCATCTGCCTGGAGCAGAGCACGCAGGCCTGGTGCGAGAACTGCGAGAAGTACCAGCCCACTGTGAGTGCCAGGCCAGGTTCACATCTGCTGGTCACCTGCGGGGCCCTGATCCCATATGGCATGGGGAGGTCAGGCTGCACCACAGGCAGTGCCCCGCTGGCTCTGGGCTCCCCCCATCCCTCAGGGGCTGCTGGTACCTAGTCCTTCCCCACCTCCCCCTGCTCCAGGTCCAGACCCGGAACATCCGGTGCCTGCCTGACGTCCTGGTCATCAACTGTGAGGTGAACAGCTCCAAGGAGGCTGACTTCTGGAAGGTGCAGGCCGAGGTGGGTGGCGCAGGAGTGACTACACAAGTCGGGTGGCAGGATTGCACCACCCCCTCTGGGTCTCAACAAGGTCTTTGCAGGCCCTGGAGCTGGCGCTCAGGACAATGTAATACCAGCGGCTCTCAGGACTCAGCTAGACCCCGGGGGTAGGGGGTCCATGTCCTGGTGGGGTGCCCTTGCCAAGCTGCATCCTGGCCGTCCTTATCCGAGGGCTCCTGCCCGCCATGCTGAGCCTCCCATTCACCCCCTTCCCAGTTTGCCTTCCAGAAGGCGCTGATGAAGCGAGGAGGCCTGGATGTGCCCAAGGGCAAGGACCTGGTGCTCAGTGACTGGTAGGTGCCTCCCCCAGGGCCGTGGCCCCTCTGGACTCCCAAGGCTACACAGCCCCTAGGGCCTTCAGCTGCCCCATCTGTTGCTGAATGCAGCTGCCTCGGGTGGAGGGGAGCTGGCACCAGTCGCCACCAGTGCAGCTGGCCCTGGTGCCTTGGGGCTCAGAACCTACTGCGCTTGGTCCTGCAGGAAGGAGCTAGGCAGTGCCGAGCCCGGGCAGCCCTACCCCTCCATGGAGGAGCTGAAGAACGTGTGGATCCCCCACGCCATCCGCATGCGGCTGACCAAGAACAAGGAGCTGGATGTCTGCAACTGGAGTGAGAGTGATGAGGTGCTGTGGTCCCCGCGGGTGAGGGGGCTGGGGTCAGTCCTGATCCATGCCTGGGGCTGGAGCCTGCACCCATTGTCTGGCAGCGGGGGACCAGGGGAGGCAGCAGGGGCTGTCTCTGGGGTCTGGGCTGATGCTCCACGCCCCAGAGCAGGTCCTCTTGTGGTCCTGGTGGGAGGGGAAGGGGGCAAGGGCAGGACAGGGCCTGGAACCACTGCCCTGGCCCCCGCACCAAGCCATGGGTAGTAACCAGTGCCAGTCGCTCCCTGCAGCCAAGTGTGTCGGATGACCCTGACTCGGTGCATGTATACGACCTGATGGCCACGGTGGTGCACATCCTGGACTCCCGCACTGGCGGCAGCCTCGTGGGGCACATCAAGGTTGGGGAGACCTACCACCAGAGGAAGGAGGTGAGTCACCAGACCCAGGAAGGCGGAGGGGGCTGCGCTGGGCAATGCGCCGTGTAACACCCCCTCCCCCACAGGGCGTCACACATCAGCAGTGGTACCTCTTCAATGACTTCCTCATCGAGCCTGTGGACAAGGTGAGGGAGCCCCAGTGCCGGGGCAGAAGCCAGGGGCTGTAATGTGGCAGTCCACGTTCTCCCATTTGTTGCGGGGGGCACAGGCCCTGTGCCTACACCCATACCCTTGCCCACAGTGGGAGGCTGTGCAGTTCGACATGAGCTGGAAAGTGCCAGCTGTGCTATACTATGCCCGGCGCAACCTCAACGCCAAGTACAACCTCGCCAGTGAGTGTGGGGCTGGGGCGTGGGGGGACGTGGACCAGTCTATACGGGGGGGTGCAGCTCACGCTTATATCCTGCTACTGTGACCTGCCCTGACATGGCCCTGGGCTGGGCAGGGCGCAGGGCCTGGGATCCATGCAACTTCACCTGCCCCTGGGAGGGCATTGCCACCCCCCTGGGCGGGCATCACCCCACACCCCTGGCCGTTCAGGTTCTGTGGCCCCCCCCCAGCCCTGTGCTGCCTGCTTCACAGTCAAAAACCCGATCGAGGCCAGTGTACTCCTGGCGGAGGCATCGCTGGCCCGCAAGCAGCGCAAGTGCCACGCCACCTTTATCCCGCTCATGCTCAGTGAGATGCCCCAGGCTGGCGACCTGGTGGGGCTGGATGCTGAGTTCGTCACCCTCAACGAGGTAGGACCTAGGGCTGGGCAGGGGGCCAGAGCTGTGCAATCTGGGCAGTGGGACACCTTGGGGGAGCAAGGGGGGCACCGTGGAGCTTCAGCCCCGCCCACCTGCAGGAGGAGGCTGAGCTGCGCAGTGACGGGACCAAGTCCACCATTAAGCCCAGCCAGATGTCAGTGGCACGGATCACGTGTGTGCGTGGCCAGGGCCCCAACGAGGGTGTCCCCTTCATCGATGACTATATCTCCACCCAGGAGCAGGTATGGGCCCCCCACCCCCCCCC